AGTCTTTTCCTTACAGTTTACAAATCAAAGACACTAAAATACTTATGAATTCACCAACTTAAATGCTGATCTATGCTTTCAAAATAACTTGTATTCTCGGGTCATCAGTAGACAGGTACTAGTGATAGGTTTTTGAGAAGACAGAGCACAGACAAGACTCGTCTTTTATTTTGAATCATTCATTTTTGGTGTCTATTACATTACAAAGAACACACATGTATTAAAATTATATATTTAATGAAATGGATGATGTTTATTTACTTGTTTACTAATACTGTGTTGTGATACTATACATGACGTCCTCCGCCCCAGAATGTTTCCGCCGTTCTCGGTTTTTGGGTGTGACAGATTGGTATCAGAGCATTATTTATAGTGAATTGAGTATATCAACCCATAAAAGATATACTAACTATAAACACAATGGGATTAAAACACTCTGACCAAGAGTTTATACTTTTAAATAATAAAATATTTAACTAAGTATACAAGCTTGCATTCATACTAAAATCGATGTCACAATGACAAATACAAAAGTATTACGATTGTTGAATATCACAAGTAAGCTCGGGGATGTATGGTCAGTCTTGGGCGTGGCATAGCCTTATCAACTATGCTGGTCCGAGGAGTGATTATCATATGCCCAAGAATGGTTGTCATATGGCAACAAGTCTAAAACCTTACCAACATTACTACAATGAAAACACTAGAACAAAACATAAGTCTAAAATACTATAGGAGTGTTTGTGTTACTATAATTATCTTATTCAGTACGTCTCTTAAAATGATTCTTTTACCCCTACTTCTCGCGTAGATAACATGGCTGGATTTCATATCCCTGGAGACCCGTATTTCCCAAATCTGGGCAATGTTGGATGGCTAGATGATGAGCCAGAAGATGACCATCCAATCCCTTTGGATGATCACCTCGCAGAAGGCTTTTCGGATGGTTCTGAATCCGAGCCCGAAGTCAACAACCTACCCCAAGTAGGTCAAGCCCCAAATAACAACCCCCGACCAGCGTTACAGGGTCCCACACCCTTGTGGGCAACAAACTTGAATCGCTGGAGCGATGAATAGGGTCAACCCTTACCCTACAACGGGGACCGAAACTTTTACAACATAAGCGAGGGTGGCTCGGCTGACCGATCCCTACCCATCATAGTCCGTAGAATTGCTCGTAATGTTGAACAAGGTTGGGCAGTCATTGGCCAAGTAGTGGAGATTGATGCCAACTCTGGTGTCAGTACGGTCTGCATTCTCCATCTCGAAGAAGCGGTGGAAAGAACCCAGAGGACCAATGAGACTCTGCAGCAACAACTAGCTGCCTCCCGAGCTGAAGTCATAGAACTTCGAGTTCACCAGAGGGCTCATGAACGACACCTTCAAGAAGTGGTTCGTCAGATGAAAGATCTAAGGATTCGCCCGAGGAATTCCCATTGCCGTTAAAAGATGTCTATCACATCTTTTCTTTTGATTAAGGAATAGCTTTTTTACCTATGCTCAAAGTAGCACTTGTATGTAAATTATTCCTGTCTTTCAAGTAGTTTATTAGACTTCTAAACTGCCAACATTTTCCCCTATGGTATGATGTAAGACCTTTAGTTAGGTCATTTTCTAGAAATTATTTACATCATTAATACCAGTAATTTTGGCATGTTATCTAATCAATTCAGAAACCCATACTATCATCTGTTGTTGAACTATGGCGATTTAGTTCATGAGACACATTCATTTTCTATACTATTGAATGCTTATCATTGTATTTATCTTTTCAACTTATAGTTGAAAAATGCCACCTCGTAGAAATCCAAGGCGTAACAATGGTGAGGACGCACCGACACCACCACCACTTCCACCTCCTCAGTTCGACGCTGCTATGTTCCAAGAGGCTGTCACTGCGGCAGTAGCGGCTGCCATGTCACACATCAATACTCTTGTCCCTAGTGGATCAGGAAATGGTACACCTCTTTCTAACCATGGCGAGAGTCATAGGCATCCCAGGGAGTGCACCTACAAGGATTTTACGCATTCCAAACCCCAGAATTTCAATGGAACGGGAGGGATGATGATTTTAAGGCAGTGGATAGAAAAGACCAAAGTAGTCTTTGAAATTTGCGCCTGCCCAGAGAACAATAAGGTCAAGTTTGCTACTTGCACCTTTTCTGACAGGGCTTTAACTTGGTGGAATGGCCACGTTAAGTCACTGACTCTAATTGTGGAAAATTCGATAAGCTGAGAGAACATAAAAGCCATGCTAATGAGAGAGTACTGTCCTCGAGGGAAAATTCAAAAGCTTGAGCAGGAACTCTGAGGTCTTAAGATGGTTGATTCTGATGTATCAACATATTCCAATAGATTATGTGATCCGGAAATTCTTTTCCCGGATATGGTTGCTCCTGAAAGCAAGAAAATATAGCGATTTATTTGGGGACTGTCACCTCAGATACAAGCAAGTGTGATAGCTTCAAGGCATGTTACTTTTGACAACGCTAAAGAACTGGCACAATCTATTATCGATCACGAAAACTACTAGAACACAACAATTGTTTCACCCGATCAACAAAAGCGAAACAACAACAACAGGAAGAAAGGTTGTAACAAGAGGAAAGGAGGGTCTTCACAAGAATACTCAAGGAAACAACAACTAGTTACAGTAAATGCTACTGTTGTACCTACTGTTGTTCCTACTAACCCCTACCCAGCAAAGTCGTATGTGGGTAACCTTCCGAAGTGCAACAAATGCAACTTCCACCACACCGGACCTTACCGGGAAATGCATTGCTCCAACTGCAACAGAAAGGGGAATACTGCCCATTTCTGTAAGGCTCCCGCAAAGTCGAGCACTCAAGTTCCCAATGTTGGTGTGGGCCAAACTAGCTACGGTTGTGGCGAGATGGGTCACTTCAAAAGAAACTGCCCGAAGGCAGCAAATACCGGTGGAGTGGGACAAGTTTTGGCTATGGGCCACGAAGAAGCCGTAGCTGATCCTACGATAGTTACTAGTACGTTTTTCCTCGATAATTCATATGCATGTATACTATTCGATAGCGGAGCGGAGAAAAGCTTCGTAAGCCAGAAATTTGTTCACTTGCTTAAACAAAAACCACATACACTAGGGGAATCATTCACTGTAGAAATGGCAAACGGGAAAACGGAAACTACAAACTGCATATACGTAGGTTGTACTCTAACTCTAGATGGTCATTCTTTCCAAATATACCTCATGTCGATCTCAATTAAAAGTTTCGACGTCATAATCGGTATGGATTGGTTAAGTCGCCTTCATGCCGACATCATGTGCTTTGAGAAAGCAGTTCGTCTTAACCTCCCTAACAACAAAACCCTAATTATCTATGGCGACAAATCTAGTACAAACCTTCGCATCATTTTGAGTATTCAAGCTCAAAAGTGCTTACGAAAGGAAAATCATGCATTCCTTGCACACATCGTAGATACGAGTCAAGAAGTAAAGGAAATTCATAACATTCCGGAAGTACGCAACTTTCCCGACATTATTCTAGAAGAACTACCGGGATTACCACCCTAACTCCAAGTCGAGTTCAGAATCGACTTAGTACCAGGGGCTAAGCCAGTAGCCAAATCTCCTTATCGTCTGGCACCAGTGGAGATGCAGTAACTTTCTTGTCAGCTTAACGAACTTCTCAAGAAGGGATTCATTAGGCCAAGCTTCTCACCATGGGGAGCACCGGTCTTGTTCGTCAAGAAGAAATATGGATTGTTTTGTATGTGCATCGACTACAGGGAACTCAACAAGCTTACCGTTAAAAATCGTTATTCTCTACCCCGAACTGACGACTTATTTGAACAACTTCAAGGAGAAAATTTCTTCTCGAAGATAGATCTACGATCCGGGTATCACCAGTTGCGAGTGCTAGAAGAAGATGTCCCCAAGACAGCCTTCCGAACTCGTTATCGACACTACGAGTTTGTAGTAATGCCATTCGGATTAACCAATGCACCAGCTGTATTCATGGACCTAATGAATAGGGTGTGTTGTCCTTACTTGGATCAGTTCGTTATCGTCTTCATCGATGACATACTTATCTACTCCCGAACTAAGGAGGAGCATAGTCAACACCTACGAAAAATTTTAGGAACATTACGATCAGAGAAGCTCTATGCAAAGTTCTCCAAGTACGAGTTTTGGATTCGAAGAGTCGAATTCTTGGGCCACGTGGTTAGTGAAAAGGGAATACATGTGGACCCTTCCAAAATTAAGGCTATTGAGAAGTGGTTAGCACTGAAGACACCTACAAAAATTCATCAATTTCTACGTCTCGTTGGCTACTATCGCAAGTTCATACAAAACTTCTCTAGTATCGCGAAACCACTTACCACACTGACCTAGAAAGGTGTGGCCTTTGACTGGTAAGAGAAACAAGATAAGGCGTTCCAAATGTTGAAACGAGCCTTATTCACCGCACCAATTCTATCCCTCCCAGAAGGAATAGAAGACTTCGTGGTCTATTGCGATGCATCCAACCAATGGCTCGGATGTGTTCTGATGCAACGAGGTAAGGTTTCCGGATACACATCAATCCGAACTGTTGTACCAGGATTAGTGTTGAGTAGCTCCAACAAACAATCCCTCAAAAATCCATATTGTACTTGGTAGTCCCCACTAATGATACGTTCAACCATTGACTTTTCCCTAGCAACCTTTTGCAATGACATTCCTACCTCTAGTTTCTTGCACAACTCTTCGTGTAAAGCTTTCACTGGAATTTTAGGGTTACTCTGAATTTGTTGAACAATTATGTTTGCTACGTATCTGGAAGTGCAAGCTTTAATCGCCCTTGTTTGTAAACATTTATGCTCATCCTGTACTGTTTTCACCAACCAATCCTGATTTTCATTAGCCCTCGATATTTGGACTGCCCATGGACATGTAACTTTATTGGTAATTACATCTTTACCCTTTCACTTTGCCCTACTTCTACTTGAGGGCCCACCACCATCAACTACTTTAGATGGCTTACTTACAACACCTCTACATTCACCCTAATCCAGATTTTGTCATTTTTTGCTAGGTATAAAGACCTCCTTGTTGCTACAGCATGTGAGTCCATGTAGTTTTTAACATCACACTTGGTTTTGAAGACCTGGCCAATCTGAAATGGTTTTACATGAACCTCTCCATGTGAGCATGTACTTGACTTACTCAACTCTTTTAGCAGTCTCTTCCTATCATCTTCATTAAATCCCGCAAATTGATAATCATCAGTGGCAATAACTTCCAACTCATCATCAACCATGTCATTCCCTTCATCTTTTGAATGATTGTTCAAGATTCCATTTTCATCTACATCAACATCATTATGGAATTCACTCATGTCTACATCTACATCAAATTGTATGTTAGACTCATCCACATTGTATTCATTGTCATCAGAATCATCTCCACCATCCTCAGAACCATGGTCACTCTCAGAATAGAAAGCCTCTCCACTATCATCACTCACCATACCTTCTTGATAATCCACTTTTGGTTGTTGTTCAAATGAAGTTTGAACATTAAACTCAGCATCATAATCAGCATAAAGTGAGTAATCATCTATAAATGGTTCATAGTCATCAACTATTGCAGTATTAGCTCCATCATCAGCTTGGCAGCTTGGTTCCTGTACATGGTAAGTTCCCAATGGTTCTTCAGTTCAACTACACTGGTGATCACTTCTTCTTGAGTTTCAATTTCATGATTCACCACTACCTCTTGAATGACATGACTTTGTTTGCTAGCTTGTGACCTTATAAATGGCAGAATACTCTTTAAGTAATCATGCCCTTCATCAACATCTAATACTTGCGACTGCTCATAATCAGGGTTCATAGACTTGTTTAGATCAAGCTTTCTATTACATGATCCTGCTTCTCTCCTACAAGGTTTCTTTCTATTCATTTCATGTGACACACTATCAGGCTCCGACTCTTCAATAACAACTTTAGAAGGAGACTTGTAATAACTAGCTACCCTTGTCTGACCAGTTTCAATATACACCCTAATAAGTCTGTATTTAGGGACATATGATACCATTTTAAGTGCATGTTGGTCATTACCTAAAGGCATTAAGCCATAGTCCAAATGGTATTCAGGGATACAAAAATGGTAGTAAAGGGTTTGCTCTGTTTTGTATCCTAATTCCCAGACCATGTCGTCAAGCTCATGAATTGAAAATAAATCAGTGTCAACATCATCTACATATGCTACAACACCATCAACGTATTTCCTTCCAGGTGCTTTGGTGAAGACACCACTGTAGTGTATCTTCAACGTGAAATAGTTGTCATATCCTTCTGCAAACACAAAAAAGAAAAAAATCAATGATTTCTCTACGTGAACACAATCGACCAAGAAAAAATAAGTTTTGTTGTAGTATTGTACCGTATCTTTTTCCTAAGCCCTCCACGATAACAAATTTTTCTCAAAAACACCAATTGATAGCACCATTGCAATTCCTGCAGCTTAAAACCCTAAATCTCAATTTATGTTCTTGCTTCTACGATGGGAATGAACCCGATGAATACAGATGTAACTGGTTATCTTCTTGGGAGAGGGACAGGTAGTGACGTGTCGGCAATAGGTAATCATTTCATATTAAAGAAAGAAGGTTACAACTGAAATGACAAAATTACCCCTATAATATAAAATTAAAAAATGAGAACGGTGAAATGCTAATGGAGTGAACCGGAATGATCAAATGTTAAAAGTTTTGAAACCACAGGGACTATCTGTGAGGTTTTTTGAACTAAGAGATTACACTTGATATTTTTGAAAACCACAGGGACCATTTTTGAAGTTTTGTCTAAATAAAATCTTATTCAAGTAGATATTCTATGAACTGACCACTTCTTCATCCCAATCACCAATGAGTTAATCAATCATTTGCCTACGTAACACTTGAATAAATACAAACACAGATACATATTAAAAAACACATAATCAAACATAAACTATAGAAAATATAAAACATAAAATATAGAAAATATAAAAATAGACACCCTTTCTTCCTCAGAATTTTGACCATCTACTACACTTTCCACAGACCAAATTTGAGCAGACCGGAAAGTTATTTTATTTCCCTATCAAAACTAATTCATATTAAAATGGAAATGTAACGACAACATACCTCACAACTTTTATATATATATATATATATATATATATATATATATATATATATATATATATATATATATATATATATATATATATATATATATATATATATTGATTAGAATATGTATTACTTTTCATTTTTCTAAACCAATATTTAATTCTAAAACAATGATCTTTTATTAACTAGAACAATATGCATTGAATATTGTATAGTTATGTTTGCTTTAAAACTAGCAATTTATGTGTGTTTTTATAACCATGAATACTATAAATACCGACCATTCTCAACATTTAGTTTCACAAATTTCTCTTTTATATATATATATATATATATATATATATATATATATATATATATATATATATATATATATATATATATATATATATATATATCTTCTAATTTACTCAACCATAATGTCGTCCTCAATATCTAGTTCGTCGGATACAATGATATTAGAAAAATGCAACATTTATCGATGACGTCATGACAAAAACGATTACGTACTATCAAAACCAAGAAACTCAAAGTTTACGTTTTAGAAAAAGAATAGGTCCTTTAAATAAGAATTGTGAATCCATATACAATCGTATTATAGAATATTATTTTGTTTATGATGTCGTATACGCTGAAAAGTTTCGACAACGATTTCGGATAAAGAAATATATATATTTTTATGTATTGTTGGTTATTTGGAGGGTCGATTTTCATATTTTCAGCTGAAGTGGGATGCAAGAGGTGGAAAGTGTTTTTCTTCATACAAAAATGCACGATCGCAATTCATTAATTAGCATACGATATGTGCTCGCAAAGTTGCAAAACATAATATACATCATTACGTGTGCATCATATTACATAATATGATTTTAGAAGATAAAAGAAAAAGAATATGCCGTTCCAATGAAAACGAAATTTTGCTAGCCTTCAAAGGACCAACTATTCATCGGTAGGTAGGCCAGAATATATTAGAGCAAACAAAAAGGAAGTACATTATCGTGACATTTATCATCCATTCGTGTCGAGTACATGAAACATATTCATAAAGCTAATCTACAGGTCGTAGTCGAGGATTGGCACGATAATTTGTATAACGATTTGGCATTTAGGTGACGATTCAAATTTGTTAATCGAGGATTCGGAAGACGATTCAAAATGTAGTATTTAATTATTGTTATTTTTAATTAAGTTTTCTAAATTTTTATTTTTAACTAATGAAACATTTCTATTTTATGAATTTGTGTTTATTAACCATTATTTGAATTAATTATATTTATTTATTAAATTATAGTAATTTGATTTAAAAAAAAAATGTAAAATGAAATGTGATCATTTTTTCGAAAAAAAGAATAAAAAGGAAATGAGTTAACATTGAAGTGACCCGTAAAAAATGAAAGGTGGAATGTAACTACACCCTCCCGCCTAAGCAATAAACAAATATATTAATATTGTAGAATTTTTTTTGGCTTTTTGCAAAGGGATAATACCCTTTGCGGAGAATTTCATTCATATCCTTCGAAACTTTAAATATTACTAATATATCCTTATAAATTTTAAAATTACATATATATCCACCCAAAATTATAAAACTAACATCTATATTTAAATTTATAATTTAAATAGATTTAAGCTAATTAAATAGTATAAAACTATCTAAAAATCAAAATTACTTATGATTATACTAAAATACCCTTCTCAATTTAAAAACTAAATTAAACAAATTTAACAGTCGTTGTTGCCAAATCTCGACGGCCAAACATTATGTGCAAAGACGGTTACATATGAACACCAATAACAATTATATTCAAAATGTATGAAACGTCTTAACATGAAACAAAGATTGGACCTATCAAATTCCAATTACGCCAATTGATGACGAGTACGTTTCATAACCCCAATTTAACTTATTAAAAAATTTCATATGTGATCTATCGACTTGTTTTCTGTGTTGTTTTATAATTTACATTCCATAATTTAAACTATTAAAAAATTCATTATAAGATTTAAGCATAATGAAGAAGATGGGAACTGGACGTAAGCTTCGATGCGGCAGAAATGGGGCAGGAAGGTTTCTAATATTCAATTAGGTTTAATCCTAATTAAACAGGTTTAGTGTTATGTTTAATTTATGAAGGGTATTTTAGTACAATCATATTAAATTTTGATTTTTGGATAAGTTTTTTCATATTAAATTATTTTAAATCTAATTAAATTATAAGTTTGGATATATATATGTGAGTTTTATAGTTTGAAATGGATATATATGTAATATCAATATTTGAAAGGATATATAAGTAATATCTAATGTTTTCAAGGATATAAACGAAATTTTCCCCTATTTATGATTTATATACATGTAGTCATTGATTTTTATTTATGTTCACAATTACCCCTTCAACTTGTTAAACTGTACACATTTAGTCCTTATGACCGGCTACTCCAGGTTAACCGGTAAAAATGACTTAATAGGGTAATATATTTCTCACTTTGTACACATTTAGTCCTTAATTTTTTTATATACATTTAGTCCTTAATATTTTTTTTGTTGCAAAATAAGTCATTTTTGTTTTTGTACTCATTTAGTACTTATGAGTGATTTCTTTAAGTTTTTCTCACGACATCTTACGTAAGATAGTTATATGGTGGTGGGATAGGTTAAGGTAGGGATGTCAACGGGACCAAACGGGAGCGAAAATAGTTGCCCCCGCTTCCGCCCCTGGCTCCCCCGTTTACAAAGCCCCCAGTCCCGCCTCTGGTTACCTCCATCGCCTCCGGTCCCGCTCCCGGTCCCCCAGTTTATAGGCTTAAAATTCGTTTTTCTGCTAAACAACTACTTTGGTTTAGGCTAAAAAGCTTATTTTTAATAACTTTAAAAGTTTAAAACATAATCTTTTAGAAACTAAAAAATTAAAAATCCAACATTACAAAACGACAATTCCAACAATCTTAAAAGTATAAAATATGACAAATCCAATATTACAAATATAAAATACGTATGTATCCAAAAATATATGATTAATTTACTGCCTCTTCAATATCCATTAATTGGAAACGGGAAAGTGAATCCTAACAAAAACCTAAAATTAGAAAATATATTTTGTATATGTAATTTATATTAAATATATGTTCTTTCAATAATTGTACAACTGGGGCCCCTGCGGGAGTACGGGACGGAAATACCAACTCCCGATCCCGGTCCCGAAAATAAGCGGGGTTTAATTTTGCCCCCGCTCCTGGTTTTTTTAAAAATTTAGTCACGTACGGGATCGAGGTCCCACGGGGGTTTTTGACATCCCTAGGTTAAGGTGGTTCTACTATATGTTGTAGGTCAAGATACCTGGTGCGGGCCGGCTGTAAGGTGTATGCACGGAGGCTCGAGAAGAGCGGTTGGGTTAAGGCGGCATACCGACAAACCCTCGGTATTCCAGTCTGATGATTGATTGAACCTGTTGCATATTGGCATTCCAGTCTGATAACTGATTGGGCCAAGGCATTCCAATCTGATGAGTGTGGGCTCATTATGCATGATAATACATTTGTTGTATCGAATATTTTGGGGAAAATTCACTAAACTTTGTGCTTACCCATTTATTTATGTTTTCAGGTTCTATCGTTGATCGTGGAAATGCGAAAACATGATTGTAAACATTCATCAACAATATTGAAGATTTCACGTTTCTTATATTACTCTGATTTTCGATAAATGTATTTTGGAATAAACATATTTTCTTAATGATTGATTTATATTTAGGGATTGCCTTATTTAAAAATGAAAATTTTTTATGGTGAAAATAAGACGTTACATATAAACATCAACAGCCCCACACACTTCATCAAATGATTGTCTCACGTAAGATGTCGTGAGAAAAACCTAAAGAAATCATTCATAAGTACTAAATTAGTACAAAAACAAAAATGACTTATTTTGAAACAGAAAAAATGTTAACGACTAAATAAATACAAAAATATTAAGGACTAAATATCTACAAAAATATTAAGGACTAAATGTGTACAAAATGAAAAATATATTACCCTATTAAATCATTTTTCCCGATTAACTTGGATAAACCAATCATAAGGACTGAATGTGTACAGTTTAATAAGTTGAATGGGTAAATGTGAACGAAAAAAAACTCAGTGACCAAATGTTTACAAATCGAAAAATATATTACCTTTTTAAGTCATTATCCCTTTTGTAAACCCTACGACTAGATGCATTTAAAAAAAAAATCGAATGGTTTCAAACATCTACAATGTTATATCAAACATCATTTAGGTTATCCCTAGAAACTTATAATTTTTATTTGGTTCAAGAACACAAAGATGTATTTCACGAGAAAACGTATGGATTTTGATTTTTTTTTTCCACAACAAAGTTGGTCCCCAAGCACACATACAATGAACAGACGAAGGTAGTGGTGATGGTGGTGTTTATCGGGATGATGGAAGAGGCCGCCAATTGTCAGCAAGACTAAGTGCACGCTCTCGAGAAGGTGGTGGAAGCTGTTGAAGTATCACATTCTTCACATGAGCTGCCGCCGTCTCACCACCACGTGCCGCCAGCTCCAAGTACACCACTGCCTTCATCATCTGCCCTTCCTATCACCCAAAAAACAACACACACAATACATGATTAGCCTCCAAATACCACTTACTTACTCTATTAACTTGTTCTTTCTACAGTTATTTAAAAATTCAATTATTATTTGTAGTAGAAGTAGTTAATTAATTACCGAAAACAGAGAGAGTCCATGTTCAAACTGAGCTTTCCTATGTCCATGATCAGCAGCTCGCTTCATCCACTTTCTAGAATGTCTATGGTTTTGTGAGAACCCTGTTCCCAATGAGTAACACAATGATACATTATACATTGCCCTCACATATCCACCCTCTGCAGCTCTTAAATACCACTTCGCCTGTTCAACAAAAAATTATAAAAATATAAACATTTATATTGGAATTGAAACTCTTCCATTTTTTTGGATTATTTTAATAAATATGTGTAAAAATACCGCTTCTGGAAGATTCTGATTCATTCCACTACCCCGATGCAAGCAAAGGGCGAGTTGGTATTGACCTCGAACATAGCCAGCAAGAGAAGCTTGGTATAGCCATTTCACAGCCTCCTTCATGTTAGGTGGTTCAGCTGCATTTGTTGAAGTAAAATGTTTTCAGATTTTTTTGTTTGTGTAAAATAACCTTCAATCAAAACAAAAACAAGTAAAGTAATTGTGAATACTAAAACATAAACACTGAAACTTCTTTGCAAACCCTAATTGCAACATAATCAATTTAAGCCACTTATTTCTCAAAATTTGTTATAATCTTATACTGTAATAGTCAAGTATACAGCAATCAAACCATGAGGTAAACATCTTAAGCATGAATCTGTAGGTAACTGTAACAACAGAGATAATTGAAGATGAAGCAAAACTAAAAGTAAAGGAGTATGATGTTACCTTGAAGATAAGAAATCCCCAAATTGCACTGCCCAGCAGCGTCACCAAGCTCGGCTGCTTTCCTGTACAACGCCACACCTTCTTCTTTCTTCCCCATCTCCCATAAAACCAATCCTGCATCCACCATAGCGAGAGTAGATCCACGCGCCGCCCCTTTCAGAAACGAATCCAACGCTTTCTCGATGTTCGGCTGCACACCGCCACGGCCATGCTTGAATCGTTTCCCCCAACGGAGAAACAACATCGCCTCCCGCAACGGTCGGAGTCCGTCCCTCCATGATTTGCAAACCAACGATGCTGCCTGTAAATTCGGGAGGCTAAAATTCGCCGCAATTTTAGTTAACACATCGTTTGGTAGCGCTGCGAAGTCACGGAAATGATCAGAACGCCGCGACGATGATGATGGTCGGAACTGCCGGACACTAATTGATTTTGAAGTAGAATTTTCATGTTTTCGAGCCGAATTTTTGATAGGGAATTGTAGGGTTGAGAAATGAGAGGTTTCTGATCGGTGAGGCCAAGTCCGTTCGTTCATAATTGATGACAGCTTCTATGCGTCTATAACCTTCATTTATGGTGGCGGACGCGGTGCTTAGAGGGTGATTATGCGGCCACGGAGCCGACGCGCAATTAGTTCGTGAGTGGACTAATGGCTGAATGCCGCCACATACGGTGGTCCGAAGGTATCATTGTATAGAATATCGGTGTTTTGTTCATTTCATTATTTTAATCAATAAGTAAATTACAAACCCAATAGAATTCTATGCTAGTTAAGTTCAGTCCAAACATTTCAACTATTGTAATCAAAGTCTTAAAAAGCCAACTAGGTTAATCATTTGGTCCCTCAACTGTCAAAATTAACGAAATTCTATCAACCAAACTCATAAATATTAGGCGAGAGGGTGTGTCGGCACCGCACCTATGGTGAGGTGAGGTGTCACGGTGGTGGTGTGGCGAGGATTCTGGCGCAAGACTAATACACTGCGTTTCTTTCTTTTGTTTCACGCTTCATATTATTGTACAATACAATATACGTTGTTGTGTATATTGAGGAGAGTGAAAGGTGATCATTTTCTATCATAGAGAGGGAGTGAGTGTAAAATGACATGGTGATGAGATAATAAGGAAAAAAAATGAGAGGTGTTAAAAGGGTACACCCCTTAGCCTTATGTATTTATTATGTCTTCTATGTTTATCTCAACGGAAAAGAATTGATGGTAATCCTTGGAATCTCATTCGGATGAGATAAGTAGAGACATATATCGACATCGATACCTTCATTAATTGGTGTAAAGAGGGTGTAAACAAAAGCAATCCATAAAGTAAATATCATGTCAAAAATTGATATCATATTCCTTATTTTGAATTCATTGCAACTTAGTGGTAAAAAAAAAAGAATCCTAAAATCGATATCATGTCAAGTTTCATATCTTATTCCCTATCTAAAGACATTGTGCACAAATGGTGGGGAAACTCATGTTAGCATTTGTATTCATTTCCCTACATTCCATGACCATGTGTTTTAAAGAGGTTTTATTTAAATTTTTGCTTGTTGCATTATCAACATTGGTCTCAAAATTAAAACCAAAACTCCAACATATTGTCATCTTTAACTATAATTTTTAAAAAAAAATGGCATGTTATGTCAACTAAGTTTGATTTGGAATTCAGAAAGTTGAAGTTTTTTATCTTTTAAACACTTTTGAATATTAAGAGTATCGAGTATACAAGTAACATACCATTGTCTATTATTTAAAGGTTCTTATTTTATGTTTATATTCTAGATGTGTTTATATTTTACATGTGTAGTAGTAGTTGTTTTCTTTCATTTGGTGGTAGATAACTGTGTATGGTTTGGTTGAAGAAAAATACATATATGATGTGTGTCTAGCATATGTTATGAACATAATTAGATTTCACATAAAAATTAACGATATTTAAATTATGGATGAAATTGTCATAGTTAGATTTATGACAAGTCTACATAAATGGTCTCTATGGTTTTTCAAAATATCAAGTTTACTCATTGATTTGTGTTTGTGTTAATGTGTTAAACGGATTTGTGTTCATATATATGATTTATTTTATTCATGTCTGTTTGTGTAATTAACCTAAATTTAAAACCATCAAAAACAAAATTTCGAAACTGGTTTACAAGAATTTGTATGATTAGTAGTTGTGATAGTTGACTGTAGTGTTGATGGTGAAAGTTAACTATCAAAGATATGGTAGACAGTAACCGTAAGAGACGGTGGGGGTGGGGTGGGACTTTTTATCGAGGTTGTCTTAGTTGCGTTGATGGTTGACGCCTAGTGACAGCGAAGGTCCAATGGTGTCGGCGTTGATCCATGGTGGTGGTCTCTTGAAGAAGATGAGCATTGTAAAAGTGGAGGATGGGGTGAAATAGGGATAGTATTAATTTTTTATTTTTTTTAATTGTTGCAACAAAAAAATAAAAAATAAAAAAGTAAATAAGTTATTTCATATAGGCCAAGACCAAGTGACCCACCAATATAGAAATTAAAACTAGCGAGACCTACTATAAGGCCGAAAAAAGTTAGAAACTAGATACTCTGAAAAAAACCAAATGGATGATGTTTTAAGATTTGTCAACCATTTAACTTTAAATGTAGTAATTGTAACTTTTGGACTAGAGTTTACATCAAGAAACACTCCAAGGACGAAGTATGAAATATAGTCTTTCTTATAATTAATAATAATCAATAACTGTTGGTGGTAACATCCTTTTCATCCGTTCTTGATGTTTGCCTACTATTAAAAATCCATATTAATATTTAATTGTTATAAAACAAACATTTATATTTAAAATAGAAAGCAAGTGTGTTGAAAGAGACTCGTAGTTTGGTATGTTTGGTTCCATAAGATACAATGATAAAAGGTAGAATAGACAATTTAATGTACTAAGCCCAATACAATAAATAAATTATTGTATGTTCATATCATATTTGGAGGACATAGAGAAATAATATATATATATATATATATATATATATATATATATATATATATATATATATATATATATATATATATATATATATATATATATATATATATATATATATATAAGATTCTTTAATAAACAAATAAAGTCAATATAGTACAAACTTCAATATAATTATAATAATAATAATAATCATAATAATATAGTTGCTACCGATTTTGGAAAATAAAAGAGTAGTTTTAAATTTAACAAAACCCATGAAACATATATTAAGAATTACATTTTAAAAATGGTTACCCATCAATCGTTTTTTTAATGAAGACAAAATGACGAATTAGTCCTTTTATCTTTAACATACTTACAACTAGAGTCACAAATTCGGATTTTGGTAAGGCGACGATATGATATATAGTAAAAACATGTAGTATTTAAAAACCATAATAAAATAGTTATCATATATTCATAAAAAGAGTGATTAATAATAATAATTTGCACATACTTGTTTGCGATTGTGAATAACATAAACATAGAATTGGAACATAAGGAAACATGGTTAATTAATGATGTGAATGAAGGGAGTAGAAGAGAGTACACCACATCAAGAGAGTATAATAGATACAGAAGTGAAATAATAACAAGCACCAAATAGCGACCCACTATACACACGCACATATAATACCATAAGAGTATATTATATGTATATATATGGATACCTTACTTACATCCTCGAGTAGCCTCTTTGGTCTTCGTATTGCTCCATGAAACCATCATTAAACTTCTTGAAACTTTCCATGATTGCAGGCATGTCCTCCTCAGCAGGCAAGATAGTTGTCCTCAGATGGAAAACCCTAATCCAAAATTCCAAATCACAAATCACAAAATCAATAAATATACTCTAAATTTACAACCAAGTAAAATAAAAGGGTAATTTTGTAAAATCCAAGCTAAGGACTTAATATTAAAATAAAGTAACGTACCCTTCTTTTTGGCCAAAGCCTGAACCAGGTACAGTAGAAATGCCGGTGGCTTCCAAAAGCTTGAGGCAATAGAAAACATCAGGAACTTTTCCAACGCTTTTTGCAGCTTCAATTGCTTTTGGGGGTAACTTTATTTGTGGGAACGAATACATGGCGCCTAATTGATTTCAAATTTTATATTTCTATAAATAAATAAATAAATAAATAAATATCAAGAAATATTAAGCAATATCGGAAAATGGCTAACCTTCTGTGAAATTACAAACGACATTTTTGCAGCTGTTGAATCCATCTGTCATCATGTGTGCTCTCTTCCTTAGGGATTCAAGGATACCCTTGCTGCATTTATTTACCAAAAGAATGTCTAAAATACCCCTCCATAACAACAACAACAGTTTGTGAATGATGAAAATTTGAAAATGGAGAATTAGGTAATTTTACCTCTCTCTAAGAAACTGCTCATACGAGATATCACCAGGCTTTGGGGGGCTCACCATTGTCCCCATCTATTACAAAATCAAATATAATTAAATTCTGGGAATTAAAAAATAATCAAAAAAAAAAAATGATTCAACTTACAAATATCTGCCCAGGAACATTGGGACTGAGTGAAATCGATGCAACCTTGTATATTTCATCAACTGTCTGCAACATCATATTATATGCAACACTTTGTCAGGGGTATTAATGGAAAAAAAACTAAGAAATTTAAGGGCTAATGACGTAAATTGAATTTGTTTTTTAAATTTCAAAATGTGGGTTCGGGATTGGGAGTTTTGTAATTGTTGGTAAGGGTAGAATGGTACATTTGAATACAAACTCATACAGATCAAACACATTGGAAAGTTGAGTGATGCAAAATTACATTTATGTCCCTTGAAATAATTAAAAAAATATAAACCTGGGGAGGGATGTTTGTCATCTCAAAGTATCCACCACGTTGTCCACATTCACCTAAGAAACCTTTGGAAACAGTGTGGAAAGAAATAAGCTCTAGCTCCTTGCTAATTGCTCCACCCATGTCAAACAACACCTTCAATTCAAATCACACAAAAAAAAAACAACATGACTAAAATCTTGTAGATAGACGAAAATGCCCTTGTCAAAAATGAATATACCTTTCTAGAGCTTATAAATGGACGTGCATCTTGATAAACATTCTGCTGATAAACTTCATCTCCAAGCAAAACCAAGCTTTCTTGGTGACAAAATCTGAGTATTTGTTGCAGGTTTTCCACACTAAGACATTGTCCAGTTGGGTTTCCAGGGTTTATAATCACCATTGCCCTTACCTATTCATTTTCATAATCATAATTATAATTATAAATTTCTTTTTCTTTTTCCTTTTTTAAATAAAAAAACTAAAAAGCATGCATACAGTTATTCCTTTGAAACGCGCTTCTGCAACTGATTGGCGAAGGTTGTGGATATCAAGACCCCAATTAGCATTCTCTTCAAGAAAATATGGAACAAGAGATCCACCATATAGAGATATAGCAGCTGAGTATAGTGGATACTGAGGGACTGGAACCAAAATCTATAATAAAAAAAATTAAAAAAATTAAAAAATGAATAATCTAATTATGCAAGAATGATGTTTAATCAATGTAACTTGTGATTCTTGAAGACTTGAACACAAACTTGTGGTGATTATTGTGAGAGAAAAACAAAAGAGTTTCTTAATGTAACAAAAAAGAAAAGAAAAAAAAAAAAAGATATTTGAGAAAATGGAAGTATATTGAAGGTAAAAAGACAACATACCCCATCACCTGGACCACGAATGACTGTTTGCAAAATCTGCATTACTCCTTTACTGGCACCATCAGTGAGATATATGAGTTCTGGATCACTGTCATCAATTAAAAAAAAAGAAAAAAAAATTGTTACTTCAGGGATTAAAGATGTGAAAAAGAGAAAAACATGAGGGTCAAATTTACGATTATGACCTTGGATACCCATCACGTCTCTCAATGAATTCAGCAACTTCTTTCCTTATTCCAGGAAGGCCACGGGAATCACTATAAGCACCTAAAGAATCGATAACACAATGTTACTCGAAAGAACAAGAAGAAAAAATGGTAAAGATTTTGACTTTATTAAAAGGGTATATTTGGAAAAAAAAAAAAAAATACCTAGACCCCCTGAAGTATAAGAAAGATACAGTTTAGCTTTTGCAATTGCATCAGCTGGGAACAGAAGTCCTACATTTGGATCATCAAGAAGAAATGGAGCCTGGCAAAGGGCAACCACCTGGAACAAAATGTATATGTTTGGTTGGTTAGATAAAGGGTATTTATGTCAATTTATGTTTAATTAGTACAAACCTGGCGAGGGAATGTTAGAGGCTTCTGTCCCAAAGCGTGAGGATTCCCCACATTTGTGAAGATTATCTGTAAGGGAAAAGTTAAAAGTTTTCAGCCATGACAGATGTTAGATAAAGGGTATTTATGTCAATCTTGTTTAGGTATGGGTCCCAATTCAACTCTTTGTCTTTATCACACATTAAACAATAACACACACTTCACATAAAGCATAAAGCTTCTTAATGGTTTTAAATCTTAATTGATTTAATGGTTTATATTTTCTTTCCACATCATTTACCACAATGCATACATGTAATAGTCATGTTAGTTTGTCCTTCTCTATAACATCCTATTGTTTATTTTGATTAAGTCCCACATGTGATGTAAGAAAGATTCAGATATACTCTTGAAATTTTTATTATTTGTAAAAAAACTATGTTCTGTTTTTTCTCAAATAGAACCTAGAACTGAAGATATAGTAAGATTATAAGTTACCATGTGGAATTTACATGTTATTAATTCCAAATGAATACCATTCACTCAAGAATTACCTTCTTGCCCTCTTTTTGAAGCTCTGAAGCACGAAGATACAGCTCACCCCTCACAGCATACTGGGCCTTCTTGACATTCTCATTAATTTGGTCATAGTCCAATGATTTTTTTGACATGGTTCGTGCTTCAATCACCAGTGATTATAAATCAGTAGTAGCCTAAAATTGTTAACATAATCACATGAATACAATCAGCAACTTAGAAGTCAGAACAAAGATGAAAAGAAAAAAGATAACTGGAACATATTATAGTGTAGAACGAGAACTACAAGTATAAATTGGCTTGCAAAAAAATCCATATCAATCTTGAATTTGAAAATTAATATGTTTGACTTCATATACGAAGTGTATTGAGTATGCGAATCAAGAGGATGATCAGAATTCATTTAGCTCAATTTGAAATATGATTATGGTCGAATTCAAGTCCCAAACAACAAAACAAAGGGTTCTCTTAATCGATCGGAAACATGAAGTTAATGTATCAAAGTCATAGCAGAAGAAGACAAGATTCATGCATCAAAAAATAAATAAATAAAGAAGAATGACGAAATGAAGATGAACACATTCAACAGCAAATACAACACGAATTCCTAAATCGGCAAACCCCAAAACCATTAACCAAACAAAATCGAAAAGTAGCATACTACAAGACAAAATAGTTCATCCCTTCTGATTTCAAACAGATCATCAATTAGAAGCAAATGGTACCTTCGTTGGTGCAGTGGAGCTGGTATACGTGATGAACTAGGGTTGTAACGGACTATCTGCTTGAACCCTTTTGAGAGAGCAAACAGAGAAATTGGAACAATGGGGAGAAGTGTGTGAGTCACCGATTGTAGTGTAGAAAAAGGGTGAGAGGGGGTGGAGGTGGCAAGTGTGAGGATGTGACAAAATATAGTAAAGGGAACATTGAGAGCCACTGAAACCGGGTAGATTTTGTGGAAATTATCAGGGTTTGTTTTGGGATAAAGTTGAGTGGTACTAGTGTGGTGGTAGTTGAAACTTCGAATTTCTGGTTCATATTGATTGACCATCTCCATTGTCGTAACCTCACCTCTTCTTCTAGAGGAAAAAATCATCCCAATCCAATAATGGTAGATATTGCCAAAACATGTGATAACCATTTATGATAAGTTGATAACCAATTAAACCTCAAAACTATGGCTTGTTATAACAGGTTTGAATTGTAAATCGGGTCTAAAAAACAGTTACGAAGTAGGATTACAGTTAACTTTTTTTTAAACTAGTAAAAGTAAATATTTGAACTTTTAATATTAAATGAAAAATATTATGAAACTTTTTTAGAATACAATAGATGTCTATGGGTCATCATTGATATATGATTATCAAAGGAGGAAATAGAGTCTAAGTATTTGGGCTTAATGCAACCAATTGGAAGTAATAATATTATGAAATTAGGGTCTGGGGCTTAATCAAAAATTATTATCAACTCCAAACCATGGATCCAATTAGAGAAGATTTTACCAACAAAAACAACCATATAGAGTGCAAAAGCATATACATTTGATGCGTATGAGATCATAATTTATGCAGATTATATCTATAATGTATCCACACGAACCAATTCGAGTGATTGTTAAGATCTCATTTTGATCAAAGACTCATTCTTTTTTTTTTCTTTTGCCTTAGTCATATAAAATTCACATAAAGAAAGGGGGCTGGTTTTGGTCTCAGGTGGAAAAGATTATTGTTTGAAAACTATTCATTGAATTCTCGGTTGGTTAATTCTTTCCTTAACACTTCTTTGGACAAGATATTCGCAAGCTTTTTATTGGCCCAACAATTAATACAAGCCCAAGGCTAAAATGGAACTAAAGCATATTTTATTAATTACTACATAAAATAACCTGCACAAAAAGACCGGTCTCGGATCAGACCCAAAAAACAAGATCATATCAAAAAAAGACTGGACCAAAAAAAGATCGGTTTGAGACCGTTCCGAACCGGTCCGAAAAAGACCGGACCGTTCGAAGACTTGTCCTAAAAAAGACCCGACCGGTTTGAGACCGGTCCGGAAAAATAGACTTGTAACCAAACTTTATATATATATATATATATATATATAAAATTTTTGTGTTAATTATACAATTTTTAATCACAAACTATCTAATTTATTTCATTTTTTCTTTTATTAAATTTAAACTATCATTTTTAATAAATCTTAATTTATTATTTTGATGATAATCTCATATTTAGTAATGGAAAAACCTCGAAATCAAAACAAATCAAAAATATAGAAACCAAACAAAAAAAACACGTAAATCGAACCAAAAAAGGCGTACAGAAAGACCGAGAGACGAAACCAAAAAAGACCAGTCCAAAAAAAGACAGGTCGGCAAAAAGATCGGTCCGAAAAAAGACCGGATCGGAAAAAGACCGAACGAGACCGGTCTGAAAAAAGACCGGACTGTTCCGAGACCGACCTCAAAAAGACCGGACAGTTTCGAGATCGATCCAAGACCGGTCTGGGACCGCAAATGTGCAAGTCATAAATTCTTTTATTTAACTATTTGTTCTAGAACTCGATATTGTTATAAGGAAGAACTAGGTGAGTTAGAGGGTAACTCGATGAGTTAGATTGCGAGTTCGAGATTCTATGAATCATGGAACTCGACGAGTTGATGGACCAACTCAGCGACTTGAGTCAATCAGAGATTGACTTTAACCACAGGTTGACTTTGACTTTAACCAGGGTGTTGACTTGATTTTGACTTTAATTAGATATGACCCTTATAGGGTTTATGGGTATGATAGTGTAATTAAAGGAGATTGTTATGTGAAGGATTTTGAGAGGAGTTGATCCCAACACCAAGGACAGTCCAGCTAGTTCACGACATTGAGGTGAGTTACCTTCCAGTAGGAGTGGATCTAAGGTACCAATGTCGGCCCATTAGTAGGTGATTATAGATGAGATGATTGTCTTTGTGATAATTGTCTAGTATGCCACTATATGATATGATTGTCTATGTGCTAGTATGTTATGTTATTATGTGGTAATGGTAGGGGTGAGATAGTCCCCGATTACCCATTGAAAGAGACCGAAGGGGAGGCCAGCACCCAGATATGCTAGGCAGTTACCGGTTGAAAGAGACCGAAGGGGAGGCCAGCACCCAGATATGCTAGGCATTATGTGATTATATGGTATGTGGTATGATGGGGGAACTCACTAAGCATTGTGCTTACGGTTTTCAGTTTTTGTTTCAGGTCCTTCTTCGTCGAAGGGAAAGGAGCCAGCACGGTTACAGCACATCACACACATGATTTTCCGCACATGAGATTCTTAGGATTTATACTCTAACATTTTTACTATTTTATGATATGGTTTTGAGACATGTGGTCTTTGGTTTTAATGAAATGAATTAACTTGATGATGTTTTCTTATAAATTGTTTTATGAATCATTATATCAAAAATGAAATTTTTGGTCTTGAATTTTGAGATGTTACAAGTTGGTATCAAAGCATTGGTTTGAGGGATTCGGACACACCTTCAGGGGTGTCTGGACTCAAATCGATGGTTTGAAAGATTATTACGAGAAAATAGTTTTTTTTTTGAAATTTAAAATAAAGAGTTTTGAGAAAGAATAAGGTGTGTGATGCATGCAATCGGCCGAGCTCAAGTAAGTTTTCCACAAGATACCCATACATGTTATGTTATGATATGATATGATTATGAGAACTACATGCTAGAATAGGGCTGAGGATCTAGGAAGGATACCTTATATGTCTATTGTATGAGAACTGTATGCTAGATTAGGGCTAATGATCTAGGAAGATGCCATATGTGCCTGCTATATGTGCTTATTGAGTTACATGCTAGAACTGATTAGTTAGTAATATGATGGCCTAAATAGGATATGATTGGTATGGTTACTCAATGCTCGAATGTTGCTTGCTTTGTGCTTTTAGGAGTTCTAGTTATCTTTAACAAACTAGTAAACGAATATGTTAAGTTACATATTGTAAGGACTAAATAATTTCAGAAGGTTAGGTCTAGCCCTATTGTGCAACTCTTGTTTGAGTCCAACCGTTGTATGGTAGGACCTCTCATTTGAAGAATTATCTGGTCTTAATTATATGTAATTGTTGGGTTTTGAGCAATCTAACACTTCCTAAGTGTGCATGCAACCCTAATAAACCTTGGATCTATGTTTGTCTAAATACATGCAAAATAATAATTTTTCCAAGGTTTATAACCTATCTAACATGGCATGGGGAACATTTCAACATAAAGAGTTAGAAGAGATTACATACCTTTTTGATGAGTTTGGTTCTTGAGGAGTTTGAGGGCCAAGCACCAATAGTGTGAATGCCTCAAATGGAATCACAAAACACCATAAACTCTTGGAAAACTTTGAGAGAGTGTATACACTTGTATATTTCGGCCACACACAAGCTCACACACACTAGTTCACTAGTTACACTTAGGCACCATTTCATGCTCCATAAGCATGCTTATATAGTGTGCATAGTTAGGGTGAAACCCTAATAACCCATGACCTTTCCTTTCCAAGGATCCATGGGTTAAAAGCTCCATGGATCATCCATGGACTTCCATATAAGCCTAGCCCATTAACAAAAGAGCATTAGCCCACACTATATAAAACCAATAGCCCATAATCTAATTAGTCTTCCTTTTAATCTCTAAATTAATTCATAATTAATTTAAGACTAAAACTAATTAAATAACATAATCTCATATTAATATATTATAACTTATAATATATTAATAAACATATGTGTATAACTCTCATAAAATTATCCATAAATAGTTTGGATGAGATGCAACCCAAATGGACCATGTCGGGTCGGGTCAAGTATATACCAAATAAGTTATGGACTTAGACACCTTATCCAACAGACTCCCACTTGGATAAGTCTAATAACTATATTTGCGTATGTTACTTCAGGAACCAACCAGCAATCGTAGCTCTCGAAAACTCCATTGAACTATGAAGCGCGATTTTAGATAAGTGATCATGTCACACCCCTAAACCAGAATGGCGGAAACATTCGGGGGTGCATGACTTCACGTAGTATCACAACAATTGAATATTTGTAAAGAAAGTAACACAACCATCATATATATAAAATGAAAACGTATATTGTTGCGTTATACATGTTATCAAAAGAATATTACAATATGATGATAAAAAAAACACCCTTTGTGTTTCTTCTCCCAAAAGCTGGTAGTTACCTGTATCACTGATTCCCTGAGAAATACAAGTGGTTTTGAAAAGTGTCAACAATTAAGTTGGTGAGTTCATGAGTGTTTTGAGTTGAAAAGTATATCCTTTTTGGTAGTAAATTGGTAAACGAGGATTTTAGAAAGTCCAATATTTTCTTGTAAGATGATTCAAAAGTTTCCAAAGTTGAAATGTGTTAGTATCTTTTATACTCAAATGATAAAAACAACTTTGTATGAAAAATAATGTAGAAAACTGCAATGCACATATGAATCTCGTAAATCAATCTTGTTTTATACTTTTTATGTGAGTTTTATAACCATATTATTGACACTGACGGCCTGTAACAACATTCTTCAGGTGTTGCAGTGTTATGACATTTGTCACCCCAGACCTGCCGGTCTAACTATAGCTAGTAGTTTAGGTGCGGGATTGTCAATCCCGTATAGATCTATACACAAGTATCACGCTCTCCCTCCAAGAGATTATGGTATATAATACAGGACTTGAAATGCATACAAAAATGTACGTTGAAGTTTGAATATCTCACATTGCCTAGTATAAGTAGATTTACAATGAAATGACCTTACTTCTTTTGAAAGTGTTTCGTTTTTCAAGATGTATATGTAAAATGTAGGACTGACTTGTTAACTATACCCATTATAGTTTTTCAGATAGTATGTTCCATTTAGTAGAAATAACTTAGTGACATAATCGCTCTTGTATACATAAGATGTTTGTATCGATATTCGAAGATAGAAATTTCATTTATGTTTATAAAACGATACTTTAACGTGTAATGTACTTGTATTCCCCCCCTAAAACATGAAAAAGAATTGAAAAGTAGGGGTATGAACTCACTTGTTAAGTTTGAAGAGAGACTAAGTTAAGTAGAACTTCGATCGCGGATA